TGGAAGTACCACCCGCCGTCACCAATTATGCGGCCCATCGCTACGGCGGTAGGCTGTGCCTCGTCGCTGGCGGACGAAGAAGGGTCCTTCCACGAGATGAAGCATCCGTACCAGCTCCCTGCAGCAACGGGCGCTGCTTGCGCTTCTGACATTGGGGTCAGACCCGACGCCCTTCGGAGGTGGCAGTATTCCGACACGTTGGGGTATCCGGCCTGCAGCGCGTAGCCTGCTGGTAAGCATGGTGTTGTCGTGGGCTTCTGATGTTGTGAGGGCATTTTTTTTTGTTGCGAGACTGGATGGTCGTTTGGTCAGGCATGCAATGCAATGGGAGGTGTCTGTTGTCTGATGTATTTGGCTTGTTACAGAACGGGACATAGGCTGAAACCCGCGTCCTTATAAGTTTTAAAGGACTGATATGCAATGAGCTGACGGAAGGATTCAGGTAAGAACTCCAGTCCTCGGCTTCCGAGCTGCTCTTCGGCCCTTCGTGTGGAGTTTTTGTGTCATTCGTCGTTGTCCAATGCGGGTGGACGTGGACTACCCGCGTTTTACCTGCATGGTGCCGCTGCGCGTATTTAACACGGCGGCACGTGAGTAAGATGCATGGCAGGATCAGAAGTGCATTAACAGATTTGCCAGGACATTGGGTGGGCATCTGTTAGCCTATCCATAGATCTCAGGTGTTCTGCCCTCTTCGTCCACTTGCATCTGCCTTCACCGCTTCAGATGTCCGTCCTGTCTCATGGACACCGCATAGGCAGCCAGCCCCTCTTTCGGCATGTAAGTGCATCCGCAACGTAGCCGCTAATCCTTTCCGTCAGGGTTTGTGCGTTCACGTCAACGTGGCCACGTAATCCTGGTCGGGGGAGATGTTGAATCGTGGGGGGCACTGCTGCACTTGCAGGACAGACACCATAGATGGAAAACGGTGTTACTTCGTAGAGTAATCATTGCGAACGTTGGTTGTTTGGAGTTGGGGAAAACTCTCGGTTGGTTGGCAGCAGCTCGCTATTAAATACCTTCCTTATGGCCATTCCACTTACGTACGTAGCTCGCCGGCGACTCTTGATATCGGATGGACTTGCATACTACATACGGTATAAGGTTCGAGCCTGCCTCGGATACGCAGGGCCTCGGCGTGACGAAGTCTCTACAGAAGAGTTCGGATATGCGAGATTACAGTGGCATCGAAAGTATTTGGTCCGTAATTGTGAGCACCCTTAGGCCTTAGGCTGGGTCCATATTGTTGATTTACTGTGTGCTTTGATACCCTTTAGAATCATTGCGAACGTCCCCGGTTCGTCTGAAACCTGTCTATCGTCTTTCCTGTCTGTGATACTTCAACGAGTGTTCCTGCAAGAAGATATCTGATCACTGGAGGCTGCTGTTCCGGCCTTTTTGGTCACAACCCCCGACGTACAGACCACGGAGAGGTGTTAAGTGACTGTACATGCCAAGGCAAACCGGCATACTTGCTCATATATGGAGGCTATCTGACGAATAGAGATGAGATGTTAGGAACTTTCCGCGGGCAAGAAGGCTGTAGATGTAAAGTCTATTAGAACAGTGGATCAGCCAACTATCACAAGTCCCGTCTCACGGCGCTACACGAGGCTGCCCGAATGGGAGAACTGCCCCATGTCGAGAGCCTGATCGGCTACGGTGCACTGGTCAATGCACAAGGTGGCCAATGCAACACCGCGTTTAGCGCAGCAGCAGCAACCGGCTTTGCCGACATCGTCGACTACTTTCTCGAGGAACGGAAGCAGAAGATAGACGTATCCCTTCCGGGGGGGGAATTTTGCCAATGCGTTGGTCGCGGCGATGTACTCGTACGTGTCGATTTCCGAGACTGTCCCCCGCCTGCTGGAGATGAAGTTTGATGTCAACTTGGTTGATGATCAAGGCCGTTCAGCTTTCCACATAGCGGCGGCGCGAGCCACCTGGGATGCCATCGTTCACCTTCGTCAAATAGACGGTGCGCAAATTCCCAAAGAAGACATCCAAAACCGAACGTTGCTGCACTATGCAGCAATGACCGGGAACGTTGACGTAATCGAGCAGCTGCTTGAGGAGGAATTCGAATCCAGCACCGACGCCACAGACATCGACGGTTGGAAACCGCTTCATGGGCATGTCGTCAGAATAATGCGGGCGTAGTTCAAATGCTGCTACCAGAGAAGTTGACAGATCTCAGTATCATCGTGCAAGCCACCCAGGATGGGTGGTCGCCGGAGAACATTGCCATTACTCACGGGGCCGATGAAGTTATTGAGCTCTTCCAGGAGTTGAAGGCACAACTTGCGTTGGACGAGGAGAAACCCGGAACAGACGAGCCATCCGAGCTCACGACAGGAGTGGAGGAGACGAAGCCAGGGCCGGGCAGACGCTGGAAGGCCTTAGCCAGCCATCCGAGCGTGATATGCGACGGTTGCTTCTTACAACCTCTGGTCGGGGTCCGGTGGCGCTGCCAGAATTGTCAAGACTTTGACTATTGCTTCAAAGTGCTTCTGGACGGTGCAGACCACGCACGATGCCAGCCATGAGTTCAAGGCATATCCGGAATGGGGCGAGGACAGACGCGACCCGGAGACTGAAAGCGATTCCGGCAAAGGAGGTGATTCCAATGAGAAAGACGGGAGTGAGGACTCCGAGGCGTCTTTCCGGCCTTACAGGGGTTTGAATGGCCATCAACTGTTTCCAAGGATGATAGATTGTCAACATTTCCAATTTTCCCATTCTGCCCCTGTCCTAACCTTGAGCCGCCGGAGGATGCAGGTCCTGGAGTTCGTACATGGTGCCGCGAGCGAGGGATTCTTTGCTCCCCCGACTGTGAGACTCGGTAGTTGATGTTGTCTTCTCTGCCCCCGCGATGCCATTAGCGGAGTGAACGGCAGTGGGTTTGGTAACGTCGTCAAGGGGTTCATCGCCCTGCCGCTGCCCATTATTTCTGCTCGTAGGACCATGCAGGGCACCATCTGCAACAGCAGCGCTGTCCTTGAAGTCCGGCACGGTGCTCCATTTCGCCCACCACGATGGAGTGTCTGAAATATCACGGCCCTCCGTGCCACGTCTGATATCCCGGACTAGGACACGAAGGACAGGAACACACGCTGCCACTATGGTGATGGATATTTCGGTAATGTCCCACAAGACAACATCCACGGACTCGTCTAGGGTCAAGGTTAGACCTAGGGCTACCGATATTCGCCATTGGAAGAGGTGAAGGCGGTGATGGGTTAGTCAACTTACACAGATCCGAAGCCGCCAGTTTAGGAATCTTCACGGTTTTAATAATGGCGATGATTCCGACGCTACGGAAATCCGAGTTAGAGGCATACACTCGAATCACTCTCTCTAGAGTTTTGAGGAAACAGTATAGTCAGGGGAACTAGAGGAATCAGGGGGACGCAAAGGGAACGCTGCACATACACGAAACCCATGCTCATGGCAACGGCAATGCCAAATTTCTCCGTCTTCCTCATCCGCATGCCATAGAGCAGCTTCCATGGCAGAAGAGCCAGCAGAAAGTCCATGGCGGCTGAGTAGGCTGTGGGTTCGAACGCATCAGCTATCGAGTACGTCTGCTCCGCGACGCCTGGTTGGGACCACCACAGCACGTCACCATTTTGCAACTGCTCTCGACGGGAAGTTGGGACGTACCGCCTGCAGCCACACTAAACCACATTCCATCAAACTGATTTGGCCACCAACATGTTCCTTCCTGGATACTAGGGGTCCACGACTTTCGCAATGGGGTGCACTGAATCCAAAGGAACAAGGCTGTCAGACCCCGGAGGATATTCATCGAGATGATGATGAACCATTCAAGCTTCTTCATCCATCCTTCGGAGACTCGTAACAACGTGACGGCGAACGCAGTCTTGGTCCAAGCGAGAGCTGTTACAGCTAACGTGATGCGTACGCAGGTAAGTAGGAAGAGGGAGTCGGAGTTCGGAGTGTCAAGCTCCCACGTGTGACGGCCGTACTGATCGTACACCACCATGGCGGTTATTACACCAACATTGGCGACCAACAACACCTATGCTCGATTAGCGGAGAGTCAGTGGTTTGTTCAACTAGCCCACTAAGAAGGATCGGGGGGGGGGGGGGGGGTTGGGGGGGGTTGTTCCCTACCCACGATGCTATCATGATCCAGTCATCCCACCACAGCGATCTCCGGCGCGACACTTTGCAATACACACGCAGGCTGAGGAATATGGTAGCGAGACCGACTAGAACCCAGGTGATGATGAGGAGCTCGGTTCCTCTACTGTCATGAGGCAGGAGTGCCCATTCCTCCGGAGTCGGCTGAGCATGTGCAGACATTACGGCGTCGGACGCAGCCCAGCGAGCATGGCGGGGAGACGAAGAACAGGATAGAAGACGGATAATCAAAGAAGGCTTCATGGTCTGGATACCGCCACTAGAGTCTAGTACGACGATCCCTGCGCCCTTTAATGGGAAGTTCCTCATTGGAATGTAAGGTGGACATTGTAGATGTTAGTTCGGCGCCAACGACTCTCAAGGGCACACTAGAACTAGTAGGATCTAGGTAGGAAGTACTGAGGAAAGTGGAAAGACTCGTCGCATACTCGGGGAGCAATGTGTGATAAGAAGAACTAGATGCCATCTTCTGGGGTAAGCGCACTTTCTTGAAGCTGGAGACTCGGATTTCACAAAAACCTACGGACGCTGTCCCTGCCTACACATGTCAAACTTTTTCTGATCTACCATACCAAAGTCCCCAAGAGAAACTAGTGTCCAACAAATGCATTAGCCTAGTTACTATGACCCTTTGAGCGCCAGCCCCGCATTCCACGACAATCCGGGCTCCAAGTCTTGCCAAGCCGGACTCTGGATGAGTGGCTTCCAGAAGAATGTCTGGGCGCGATCTGGAACTCCAAAAGCTGACTGACTCGAATTCAAGGAGTGGGACTAACAGATTCTGCAACCCTTCCTTGATCCCTATTACCGAAGAAATTCGTCATCAATCAAAACCCCCGATGGTGTAGTTGGATATCACGTTCGGCTGTAAATGTTATTTGTTACCGAAAGGTCACCGGCTCGATTCCGGTTTGGGGGACTTTCTATTTTGCTTTTGCAACTTGTGTATCAACGTTCATATGTTGTCGCGAAAAGGTGATCCTTTGCTCGAGTTATGCAAATTTCGCCTTTTGCAGCAATATGCATCTAATCATGTTCCAAGTGCAGATCGGAACTCTGGCGGTCAAGTGGTGACAAGCCCACTCCTGGACAAACGATTTGACCCTTGCCAAAGCCAAAGAAAACGTCATCAAAACTCCGAGATCGACGGGCTCTTTTATTTTCTCCCGACCAAATCAAAACGGTAATCAAGGCGCAAGCCATTTTCCGCAGAGCTTCATTTCGAACGAGGCTTCGCCGTGTCGAGCCAGCGGCAGTGAAGGCACAGGCCATTGTCCGCGGAACTCTGTGTCGAATCAGGCTTCGCCTGGCAGGCTCGCCACAGGGTGAAAGCAAAGCTCCAGTCCATTTTCCTCGCGGCTTGGGTTATGGTACGGGTTTGCCGTCCCAAGCCGTTCTACGCGGGGCTTTAGAACGGCTGAGGCTTCGCCGGGCCAGCCTGCCAGGGCTCTCGTGGCGCTACAAGCCCTCATTCGAGGCACTCGAATCAGGAAGGGGCTGGGCCTTGGGGCGCAGGATGTCATCTCTCGGGCTATGCGCATCAATGACTTGGAAGCAGTTGAAATCAGGATTAAGTACAGGTTCCAGGCGCGCTCTTCTGCCGCGTTAATCACCGTTCCTGGACTCAACAAAGACTTACTTCGTGCAACTAGACACCTTTTACCCACGCTTAAAAGCGTTTTCGACGGTGTTTGACTTCAAAAACGACATTGTTCTAGCACTTGGGGCCAGCAGCATCAGTCATGAGACACCTCTGGCGCGTGTCACATGGTACGGAAGGGCACGGCGATATCATCTTGACAGGAAGCACGGAAGACCAAGTCCATCAGCTAGTGCGTGAAGCTAGCATCACGGAGGGTTGCGGAGCATGGCACTTCATCACACAAGCAGCCATATGCTATCCAGACGTTCGGCCCAGGGAACCGCGCAAACGTGGCGAAGTCCCGCGCGAAACAAGAATGCATCGACACGCACGTCAATCTCCAGACGTTTCAGATGTCTCCCTCCCAGGTTAAGGCTGCTTCCGAGAAATGGGGGCGCTTCTTGGTCTCCTGTATGGTGGAAGGCTAGCGGGCATTGTGGGAGACTACATCCGAGTACAGGACGCGGAACGCCCAGCACAGGACGTGGACAGCACACTCGTAGGCGCCATCCTGTCGCTGTTACCGCTCGAGGAGCTCTGCCAGTACAGAGGTGGCGCTGATGCGTCACAAATCTACGCATTTGCCATGGCTAGGTTGAAGTCCCGCATCCAGCGCGACCAGACGATATCGCTCATTTCATAAGACGTCTTGTAGAACTGGTCTGCGACTATGTTCCACGGACAGATGTGCCCAGGCACTTTTCGCTGACGCCTCGGGTCCCCGCCCTACCGCAAGAGATACCGGATGAGTGTGTCCCAGATGGGATGGCCAACCGTGACGCATACAGAATCATTTGGAGCAAATTGCATCGGTTTCTGGGCTCCTTGGGTGCTATGAACCGTCCCGTCATGTTCCCTAACGTAATTGCAGACGTTCGGAGCATGCATGCCGCAGACATCATACCACATTTCCAGTCATGGACGCCAGACCAGGACAAGATTCTCAAGTACAGAAACTTGATTCTGGACGCAGAAATAGGTTTCCGGGTTCCCTTTCGGTCGCACAGGGAACTGATACACGGTAGGCCGTCTGTGCGGACTATATGTGCAGTGCTGACGGCAAGTATCCGCGAGGCTCAGTGGATGATGATCTGGGGTACACGAGACGTGATTGCGAAACGGTTTCCCCGCTGAGCGATTCTCTGCGGCGGCATCGCTCAGCAAACATCTAATGACGACGGGACGCCAAATCCAACCCAGACAGAATAGATACTCGAGCCTGAGGGTGAGCCTGCGAGACGTGTTAGGCGTTTATACGCCTAGAATAGCCTGATCAGGTTGTTACGAAGGCCGCGAGATAGTTTGAAGGTAGGAGGATAAGATGTATAAAGTACAAGGTCACATATTCACAAGTGTAGGATATACCAATTGGCAAGAAAGGGGGTGTATATTGATCTTCCGGGCTCGCTGATCAGCCAGAAGTGTGGTGTCCCTTCTAAGTTTTCCCTTGTAGTCGAGACCCGGTCTAAGTACTATGGGAGTCTTACACGTGACCCTTTCCTGCCAAGATTTTCTGTTTACTAGGCCCCTGAACTGTATCCCCGTGTCACTAATCGTACTGGACGTCGACCGCGCAGCGGAGTATAGGCAGGAACAGGGTGCACACATTGGAATTTCGTCGAATGAAACTGCAGTTGGACAGATTGTCCTCCTTGTCATCGTCTCGTTTGGCGGCCATCGACTGACACACACCTTGCTCTTCGACCCTATCCACGGAGACGCACATATGGAGACCGTGAAAGACGTCGTCCAGCATTGGTTGCCCGATACAGTCGCGACTCGTGACTTCATCTCGGTTAATGTGCTCCAGCAAGTGGACGATGAGGACTGTGGTATCCACATCATAAACCACGCCAGAACGCTGCAGCGTTACTTATACCGGAAGTCAACTTCCAGAGGCGAGATTGATACTTGCTGAAATTTCAACTCACCGGCTGTATTAACAAGCAACTGTTGCTTTTCTCAACCGACAGCAGGTCAAAAACACGCTCGATTTGCTGTCGCAGTTTGTGGAGCAGACCGGGGCCAACCATTCTGAGTTTGTCGTCATGTCGGCCCATAGGCCCAACGTGAGAAATCGGAACCGCCTGCTGAGGTACTACCCGCTGCTGAAGGGTATGCCTGAGCTCCAGACCATGGACTTCTTCCAAGGCAGAGAAGGCCGCTTGGTCGTCATCATCACTGGAACGACGAAGGGCCGCGGTGCCGGGTTTCTCTCACAAGACAATCGCTTGAATGTGATGTTCACGCGCCAAAAGTCGGCACTCCTCATTGTTGGGGACAAGGAGGTCACTGGTGTCTTGGAGGGGACCCGGAAGCAGCCGAGGGAGGCCGACAAGTATGCGGCGCAGGGAAAACGTACCTGAGGCAGACGGCTCCCTGAACTTCGGCAAGACCAAATCGCTACGGGCCATGCTCAAGTGGTAGCAGAAGAAGGGGCACTTCTTTGAGATGTACGCCAACCAGGAGGAGGGGAGGAGGAGAAGGAGGCTGTGGTGGAGAAACGCGCGCTGGTGGTCAAGGCGGTGCTCAACTTGCTCACGAAATAGCACGCCTACGATGTGTCGCACAGCTGGGACGACGCTGATGACGAGTATGTGAACGACTTTGACAGGGAGCTGCAGGACTTGCTGGATCTCAGCGCGAATTGATAGATGGACAGCGAGGCACGTTGGCGGGAGCTCCAGCTGCGATGTTCTAGATACAGAGGGGAATAGATTACAACAGGTTCAGTCTTGCAATCTTCAATGTGTTGACTCACAAGTCGAGCAGAGTTAATTGATGTTCGGGGTACGTTGAGTGTAGCGAGATGTTGTTCATCCCATCACGTCGCCATTAAAGTGTCGCCTGCAACCCCTTTCTAAATACTGGTGCCGACGAGAATACCTCTCAGAGATAGATCGCCAGTCGAACACTGCGCTGACGCATGTCGCAGACAATGCGAGAGCTATTACAGACTTCATCTTCCCCGCAAATATGGTACGGTCTAGCGAAAGCATCCAAGATCATCTCGATGTTGAAGTCGGGCAACTCGCGATGCTTGGCAGATGTCCTGGAGCGCGTCCATTGCCGATCGCAATGTAAGCACGGGACGGACTTTGGGGGCCTGAGCATGGCGGTCTTTCTTTTCAGTGGGATGGATTTACAGTTCCAGCATTCCATCTTCCGTTACCAAGGACGAGAGTCAGAAGTCTGAGTCTACCACGAGTCTTAGTCCTGTCGTCTTGTTTTCGATCGCTTCTGCACGACAGGATCTTGCAATGGCCGGGACGACGGACTTGCTAACACCAGTATCGCCAGCACAGCCCCGTCAGTAATTGAGCCCCCGACCGGAGGTGGTTGGGACCGACGCATCCCCGAGCAACTCCTCGAGGTTAAGCGTTCGCTGTCAGCCTGCGAGTCTCGGGATTTATTCGGACGGTAGGTCTGCCGGCCTGTGACGGACCATGGGCCATGGGTGATCTATCGAAAGCTTCGAGAAGGACACGCCTAAGATCTCGGCTCTAAGCGGCATAGTTATCTTCTTCGCCGTCACGTACGGACCCAGCGTGCAGTTCCCGGACTGGTGGGAAAATCCTGTATAAGATCTCTTTTGCCCTTCCACTGATCCCCGTCTTTCTGCTAACACTTACCGCAGCTGGCAAAACACGGCAGATGGTCTCGGGACACCTTGGTCACAGATGCCCGATACTCGTTACTTCGGGCCTGGGAATGATACCTGGAGATACTGCCCGGGAAAATGTATCAACACTGAACAGCCCTCGAATAGTATACTCATGTTGCAGCATTACGCATGTTAGTGTGGTACCTGGCGAGTGGACGATTCCATGATTAGCCGACGACACGACGATGAGCATGTTACCGTACTCACATGCGAATCCTGCCACAGGTGTACATAGAGACATGCATAACTACTTGTTCGTGCGGGCTTCTTCACACATTGCGAGCTCAGACAAATGCAAACCCAACAATCTCCCATTCCTGCTTCCTCTCCTCACTCATAAACATAGCAGAACGGCCCGTCAACCGTACTCGTAAGCTCCCTTATCTTGTACCTCTGGCCTGCAATACCGACCACACCGAGATCAACAATATCATCCAAGCTCTGCGCCCGGCTGCCGAACCCCATCATGCTCGTGCCACCGGCAATAACGGCCACCCGATTCGTCAGATCTTGCGTCTGCCAGATACTCCACGTCCGATCGATCATGGCGTGATGGACGTAGAACGCCGGGTCGTTGGGGGAGGTGTAGAAGTCGCCGCCGGGGTCGCCTACT